TTGTTGTTGTTGTTGTTGTTGTTGTTGTTGTTGTTGTTGTTGTTGTTGTTGTTGTTGTTGTTGTTGTTGTTGTTATTGCTGTTGTTGTTATTGCTATTGTTGTTGCTATTGTTGTTGTTGCTATTATTATGTTTTTGTTGATGTAAAATAAAATGGATTAAAAGATCACGAGTATGTGGATTAAAAATAACTAAATGTCTAACACCTTCATTATCATATAATTCTCGTGAAAGGCCAGAATAATGTGATAAAAGAAAATCAAGTACTTCATTCCAATTAAGCTCTAGATCAAGAAAATCTTTAAAATCGGGATTAATGGCGATAAGTTCACGGCTAATACATTGTTTTGTTAGAATTAAGAATTCCGAGGTACTAATAGGTTTAACGCCATTATTACCACTTATGTTACCCCCTCCAGTATTAATACTTCCACCACAATTCCATAATTGATTCCACAATGAATCACGGTGATAAAACTTAATGGCCTTTATAATTATATAAAGCATAAATAATAAAAATGTTAATTATTATTTTCACTATCATTTATTTAATAAAGAATAATAAATATAATTTACCTGATTAATTATGTTATCAAGCTTTACGTTAGTTTGTGAATTGACTTCTGTTTGTTTATATGGAATTTCATGATAAGATGATTGACGATTATGTTGATGAATCTTGAAATCACCAGCTGGTGGTGTTGTTGTTCCAATTGAAGAAGTGCTATTAACAGTTGTCATTGCAATTGAAGAGAAATTAATAGTAGAATTGGTACTGCTGCTAAGAGTAAAAGCCTCTATTGTCTCGTCAGAATCATCGATAAAAATAACATAATACTCTATACTTATTTTACCCGGATTATTTTTATTTGTAGAACTAAAAATTAATGTATATTGAATTTTTGCATCATGATCAAAAAAAGACGAGTCTGTTGATGTTTTTGCATTTTCATTCATTAAATGACAAACAGATTCCGAGTTATCTGCAGTAAAGTTATAATTGCTAAATGTAGCGAAGCATGCAATTGGTTCTCCTTTGAAGCAGGTTGATCGAAAATTGTATCGTTGAGGAGTCTTAATTATATAAGTAAATAAGTCATCAGGAATTGATTCGGTTTCTTTCTCAAAAATGCCATAATAAATCCGATTACGTGCGCAATATGCTGGACAACTATGCCGGTTAATAAACTGTTTAATAATTTCCAAAACATTAAAGGGTGGTGAAATGTCCATTTGTTCCTCTAAAATATGCTTGATATAACGTAAATGAAAATCATATACAAATGAGTTGACATGAATCATCTTTTTGAATCTACCACACTCCTCAGTAAACACTTTCAAACTATGTCTATCACCATTAGCAGCAATAAATCCCGGTGCTGCCATTCGAAGTTTTCCATATCGCCTATTCATTGTATACAATGTGACACAGACAAATTCATTTTGTATCCCCACTTCACACATAATAGAACCACCTTGAAGTGCTTTAAGTAAAAATACAGGAGAACCTTCATAAAATTCTTTGTTATGATCAAGCGTTGCTGTTGTAGCTGTTCCTGTTGGATTTTCGTTATTATTATTACTGCTGCTACCATCGTCAATTATATTCAACCCTGGTTTACCATCAATAACTACATGCATTCCAATAGTCTCAAGATATGAAGAGTACTCTTCTAAAAACTTATTAACTATCTCTTTATACCATTGAATCGTGTTATTATTAGTAGTAATAGTAGTAGTTGAAGATGGTTGTTGATCATCACTTTTGGCATTAAATAAAAGTGGTGTTCTACAAAAATGTAACAGCCTGGAAGTACGAAATACGATAGATAAATCAGATTTGGCAATTGCATCTCTTACATCTATTCTTTTATCATTATTATGTTCTTGATATCTCTTTACCCATTTATTATACACTTTAAGAGCATTTTCGTGGTCTTGTAATATTTTGGCTTGTCGAATACAGGTGTCTATAAACGAGGGACCATGTCTCTTCAGCGCATCTTGGCTTTTAAAAATGGAATTAAATTCTTCTATTGGTTCGATAAACGAATCCTTAAGAACTTTTTTTACATTGAAGTTAGTTAAAGCGGATTGGTTAGCCTCGATTTCCTTTTTTTTTGATTCTTCATTCTTTGTATCACCAACTCTTTTGTTTTCTTCATTGTTATGATGTCTTTGCGGGAAACGTTGATATACCATTGAATCGATATGCAGCAAATCCTGATATCCGGATTTTTGATTATTCAATGTGCTTTCAGCTTGAGATGACGCTCTTTGGGGCCCAGGTATTGGAGGTTGCATAGCTCTAGGTGTATTGATTGGATTATGTACCAATGTGGAAGTTTGAGGAGTTGGTTTTGGTTGAGGACTATCAACATGATAAAATAACCCCATTTTTTGATGTAGGATATTATTTAGCAATCCAATTCGTTTATTATGCCAGTCAGAAATGCTTTTCATAGCTCCAAAGATTTGTTCAGCATATTGTTTCTCCCAATTGTAAATATAAATAGTCATTTCAAATCCATCAAATGACATTACTAAAAAACAAGATCGAAACAAATCAACCTTTTGTCGGTTATTAGGTTCTCCAGGCAGTGAAGATGGTGGGATCTTATACATCATAATATCTTCTAATAAACTTCGTTGATGAATCGGAGGATTAATGAATGAATTTTTACGAGAGTGAATGTGACTACCATTAACTCCACCACCACCTTTTTCATTTGATGAGAAGTCTTCTACTGAATTTTCACGAGAATGTAACAGACCTTTACTACTATCATTTCTTCGATCTTCAACTGCCATTCCATACTTTACATTCATCTCTTTCAGCCCAGCAATTATTAAATATTTACATTTAGTTGAAGATGTCATTTCTGCGTCAGGAGTTGATGAGTAAGGACGATAAATCTCATATGCTACATTAAAGTTTTCAGCTCTTACTGATAGTTTTGGAAAAATTCGCAAAATTATTGGAATAAATACGGGGTTCACTTCCGATAAAAGTTCATGGACTTCTTTCATAAAATCATCAATCATCCATGCAGGCATTTCTAACTTTAAATTTAATGAGTGTAATGCTGGATTTGATAGATTTGCTGCTTTTGACAATAGTTCCATTGTTGGATCAATAAAAACACGTTGAACATGTGAATCAACAAATTTTGGAGGTTTTTTTGGAATATTTTCAACACTTTCAGCTTCCTTTTGTCGTTGTTGAATGGTTTCGTTGCTATAATGGACGCGACCTAAGCCTTTTGTTATTGATACTTCGATGAAAAAGTCACATATACACTGTTGAAAACTTTTAGTCATTCTGTCCAATAAAATATCTGAATTCATTGGACCTTGTGCCCACATATCAACTGACAATTCATAGCCTTTTCTAATTCTTTTATTATCGTCATAAAATTCGTCAGATTCTGAAATTACAAAGTTATCTTCATTTTCATAATATTCATACATTTCATTAATGTTTACATCATCAAGATCGTTTCGACTAGGTAACGGTAATTCAAAAACCGGCCGGCTATTTTTATCTAATAAGGTAAGACAAATACCAGCAATTCCTTGACCAACAGACGCTTCAAAAATTGAAGGTGATCTTGATTGACTGTTATAATTGTAGAAAAAAGTGAATTCCTGAAGTTGAATGTCACAAAGTGGATATTTTCTTCCATTATCAACATATGAATCGTGTGAGCTTGCTATACCATATCTAGATTGATGATATCTTCTAACTGCATTAATTACCTCTTGCCCATTCAAAACGTTGAGATAGGTTTGAATGTTTTGTTTGTAAAACACTAAAAATGCATAAGGATTTTTAATAGATGATGGAATTCTTAAAGTCAAACGTTTTGGACTTTTTAATAACGGTAAAATAAAATCAACATCCTAATTACAAAATAATTAAATATAATTTAAATTTATTTTTCTATCCAAATAAAGTAATAAATAAATCTAAAATTTATTAATAGTATAGTTAGTTTATATTTACATACCGCGCGAGTTAGATTAATCTTGTATGGATTACGAGCCAAGTGAGTTGACATTACATTAAGTGTGATATTGGTGGTCAATTTATTTTCTAATAGTAACATAAGTTCATCTATGGTTTCTTTGCCTGGAGGTTCAAGCCCAAAAACTTTAACAACTAATTCACGAGATTCTGTGAGTTTTGATTGTGGTGTAGCAGCAACATTGGTAGCAGTGGAGATGTTTGCACTTTTGCGAGAATTTGGTGAAGAAGTGATTTTTGGACTATCGCTCCTACTTGAAGGAGGACTTTTAATTTCTTCGTTAGAAATTGTAGATTGTAAATCTGCAGTAGGTGGCTGTTGCTGAGATTGTGAAGTAGCAGTTTGTATCAAAGGTGAAGGAGCAACATGGTTTTTGGATATAACGTCATCATCATTTTCATATATAGGATGTCCATCAACTTCAGACACTTTGATATAAAATATGTTCTTTTCTTTTGGTATCACAAACATATGTTTACGATTATTAACAACCAATTGATGAAGGATTAATGATGTGACACTGTTCAATGCTTGGTGTGGTCTCAATCTCCAGTGTAATGGGAATTTTTGCTCGTAAACCAACGGGCACTCGAATTGTCCAGGCTTAAATTTCATTGAAACATTCAAATTTCCATCATTAGGTGTCATAGATAATGCATCTACCAAATCTCCTGTTGTTGACAAATCACCGTCTTCCGAAGAAGACTCCGAGTCAGATGATCCATCTGGAGGCACTAAATATTTGCTGCAATGACGCGTTTCATTCAAATCATTTAATAAAACTAATCTGTTTACACGTTCAGATGCCTGAATTATACAGTTACGAACATGTTTGATGATGTTTGAGCGTTCAATTGCTGAAACTGCTTTGGAATAGAAATACATCTGTATACTTGTTTCTTGAGTGTCAAGTAAAAGCCAAAATAATTGTTTGCGGAAATTTTTTGAGTCGTCTGGAACAATAGGGTTATCAAGACTAATACCTAATCCTTGACATAATTCATTGCCACCATCATCATCGTCGTCGTCATAATCGTCATATACATCTGATGATGCTCGTTCAATTGAAGAAAAAGAAGAAGAATTCTTATTCTTATTATTATTTTCAATGTTGTTATTGTATTTAGGAGAAGCTTCAAATCCTGTATCATTAATTAATGATTCGTCGATGTTATCCTCTTGCCTTATATATAGACAATCTTCAACTTGATTAAGCGAGAAAGGTGACATTTCTGCTTTACTGAACTCTTTTAGAAAATGTTCTTGGCCTTGTTTTCTTTTAACGAATGATAAAGGAACAGTGAAACTAGTAGGAAAATCAACAAATGGATTTTTTGCTTTCAATTGATCTTGAATAAATCTAAGAACAGGCCTATCAACCGGCTGAGAATTCAATAGACCATGCATTATTTCTTCTTTCAATAACCAATCAATACGATCTCTAGTTTTATGTAATGCTTCCAGTTTTTTACCGGTTAAATAATCCGTTTCTGATTTCCGGTTCTTTTTTATTTCGAACATGCTAATAATAAAATAATAAAAAAAGCCAATAATAATTATAATAGTTTATATAGATCAATATATAAATATTAAACATTATTGATAGTACCTTGAAACCTCTTCTTCACAATCATCATATTTGATGTCAACAAAACCCGGTGAAATGTCAATCATATCATCTTCAACAGTTGGTAAAGTCATGCAAATAAGATGTAATGTAGCAGTGGTACCATCAGATGATTCAACCGGAGATGATTGTGTACCGATTGATTCAGGTGAAAAATCATAATATTTATCATTGATCGTGCAAGAATAGGTTGTTGGTAAACTACGAACTGGAAATTTAATATGATTTGTTTCTTTTAATTCGAAGTTATTCTGGGTTGATGGAACTAAAGTGTCGAATACTGGACTTTGTTTTTTGAAAGTGCATTCTAATCGTAAAAAAAAAGGATTTTCAGCAAAATTAAAAATTTCCAGAAAGTTTTCGGCAATATCTCCAATGATACTACTATTATTATTTGTTGTCTCAATGCTAGTTGAATTATTTGATTTTTTGAAAAGTGGTCGATAATAATAAACATTAAACAATCCATCTCCATCAAAAGAAACTGGCTCGAAATAATGGCCTAGCACTGCAACAAATTTCTGATATACATCATTATCATCATCACTTATTTTTATTAGATATTAAATAAATTAAATCAATCAATCACTCAATCAATCAATCAATTAAATAAATTAATAATAATTTATTTATTACCTGGTTAAACCCTTTCTTGAAGATTGTACATGAACATTCACATATCCAGTGATATCAATATCAAACGGTTTCTCCAAACATACATCCATTACTTTTCTAAAATCAATCTCAGTAATACAATGCTTTTGTAGAACACTGGCATATATTGATTTCACAAATCCATGAGAATAAAGTTGATTAATATTCGATATTAAACGAGCTGTCTGGTCGGGAATATCATCAGATAAATTTTTAGGTCCTTTAGGGAAATCACAGCTTAGAAATTTTGGTTCTAATAAATTTTTCATTGAATTAGATGCTGTTGTTGAATTAGACAGATTAACAATTTTAAAAGCTGGTGAAGTACAAGATGTTGGTGATTCTTTTAAGAGATCGAGATCTTTATTTAATGAGTTAATTCCATCAAGTGGTTTTGGTCTTTTACACAAGAAAATGATTAAACCTAAATAACAAGTTTGATCTTCATTGTAAAATCCACGACTTCGTACCAAATCATCTATAAAAAATTTGAAAGAAGGAATCAGCAAAAGTAGGAAAGAACTTGGGTCAACAATTTTTATAAAACATCTTGTCTCTCTTAAATTTCTAATAAATGACAATGTTGTTAAAGAATCCTTCATACTATCGGATCTCAATAATCCATTGTTAATTTCTTTGATAATAGAATCTTTAGTGCCACAATAATTAGTCTCAATTTCACCATCTATATGTTTACTCAACGTCTTTTCAACAAACAAATGTAACAAAGCTAAATCTCTATCAAAAGGGTTTAAATTTGTGATTGAATCTCGATCGATAAAATATGTGATATCATTTGACAAAGATAAAGAAAGTTTCCGTTGAGAAGAAGAAACAAATTCTAAAGGTAAATTTCTATTACTAATTCCATAATTAATTGTATTAGCGGATGTACTAGATCTTCTTAATAAATTATTATTACTAGATTCAGAAACAATCGAGGATTTTGATTCGGTAAAAGATGATCTTGATGTGCTGTCATCACTACTTATTGAAGATGGTCGATCTGATTGAACTCGAGTTATCTGAGGCAATTGATTCATGATGATGTTGCTATGAGGTGATTTGAACGAAGGAATAGTATAATTGGAAATTAGCATTCCACTTGATCGAAGTAGAGCAGAAAGATTGAATAAATCAGGAAGTCTTAGTGGTTTGGGTGGTGATAGATCACCAGAATTTGCTCTTTGCTGTGTACAACTCCTTGCTATGTAATTTATTTGATCAAAGGTGACTATGTGTGATAATATTTGACGATCTGAGCCAGAAAGACAATTAATAAAAGATTCATAAATATTGTGTGAAGTTGGTTGTTCCATCCATATTTCAGTAATAATTTCACCATTACAAGAATCTTTAAAAATAAGATACTGTACGCCACATAAATTATTTTGATTATTTGAATTTTCTTTATTATGAAAATTTATTTCTCGATAAAATAGACTAAGGTTTTTGCGTTGGAAAACCATCAAATAGCCTTCATCGAGACGTGCTTGACACAAATGTTGATATGCTAAATCCTGAATTGGAATGTTTCTATATTCGACCAAGAAAACCTCACGTTCAATATCTGACAACCAAATACCTTTCCAATGATTTAAATATGATCTCAAAATATTGTTTTTTCCAGTTAATTGACGAGCATTTGTTGACATATCTCTATCGAAATTTTTTATAAGAAATGAAGATAAAGGTCTGTTACATATATAATAAGAAAAAACTTTGTTGTTGTTGTTTTCATTATTATTATCATCATCAACGTCATTATCATTTTCATTTTTGTTGAGATTAATGATAATTTTCAAAACATCACTCGAAATTTGTTGACGATTGATGAAATCAACATTAAAAAACGAAAGATTTCCAGAATAAAGATTTCCTGCTTCATTATTGATTCTCAACTCACAAAAACTTAATGGCGATAATTTATTGCTATCTTCCATAGCATTTAATACTTTTACAAAAATATTATCAGAAAACGTAAAGGTTGCCCAAGAATCTGTTAAATGTTTTTTAATATTAGCAGTTAAAGAATCCTTATTCCTTTGATCTATCGAAGATGATTTATTTAATTTGCTTATCTTTCTGATAGTTGTAGCTATTGGTGAGGAAGAAAATGATAAATTTAAAGATATAAGAAAATCAAATTTAGTGTCCTCGTACCAAAAATTAGTGTTTAACCTCTGTGGACTCTGTTCCAAAAAATCCCACAACTGTTTTAAAATTTCTAATCTATTATTAACATGTGATAGATGCGGTGTGGTTAAAATACCTCCAGTTCCATTAATACCATTATTAATATTAATATCAATACTATTATTACTGCTATTACTGTTGAAATTTCCATTAATTAAACTGGGATGTTGATATTGAAATTTACTGGTTTCTTTTGGTAGTTTATGATAAAAATATTTCTTTAAAAGTTCGTCAGTTTCGTAAATTGTTGTTAAAAATTTGAGTAATTTCATAAATTTTGTAAACAATGGATGACTTGGATCATTATTTTGTTGAGCTGTTTGAAAATTAAGAAGATAAATTGCTAATAAAGTGTCTGAAATTACATTTATTTCAATTCTCGGTGACTTAAGACGCAATAATCCTTTTGTTTCACTAATCCATAATGCTCTGATTTTATACTGAACTGTAACATTTGGCAACCATAGTCTTGACATCGAAATATGTATTCTTTCAGCCTTATTATAATTTTTACTGGTAAATAGAAACACATCATCAATGCTAAATCCTTGACGTATTCTTGCAAATATCAATTGTTGGACATCTACCAACAAAGAATATTCTCGATAACGTGTTGACATTGTATCAGCTGTTGGCGGAAGACTTTTAGGATCCCAAGGAAAATTAAAATTAGAACCTCTAATACTATCGCCGTAATGTTGACGTGTAACATCAATAATTGAGCTATCGATTGAACTGACAGAATTATTTGGGTATCTTTGATGGTGATTTTTTCTTCTCATGTAACGTGTTTCTTTCATGAGCAAATGCCTATGATAGAAATTGAGTGAATGCCATTCAACATCATTATCATTTAACGACCTAACACCCGAAGAAATATTTGGACATTCGCAAGAATAAAAAAAAACACCCGAGGTTGCAGTTGAAACAAATTTTAAAACTTCATTATCAGGAATTAATCCAAAATTACATCCAGGATTAAAATTTTGATTTGAACCAACTTGAATAATATTACATCTTACACCTTCTTTACAGAGTTGTTGAATAACATCATCACCAACTGACATATGTGCCAAATTAGATTTGACTACCCCATCAGTGATAACTAATAAAGAAGGCATGCCTTCATTTTGAAGTAATTTGAGTGCAAATAAACCAGCATTCAGACTATATGATAAATTGGCTCCACTTGATCCTAGTCTCCAAATATTGTTTTTATCAAATGTAGAAGAAGAAAAAGATGGTGACGATGAAGCATTTGTAGTAGTTGTAGTAGTGTTGGTAATATTAATAGATTTGTTGATATTGTTAGTAGAGTTTGTGGCAGTTTTATTGCTATTATTATTAGTGGTAGTGGTAGTGGTAGTGGTAGTATTATTATTATTAGGATCAGCATCATGATCTAATTCTTCCGTTTTTGAACCTGTTACATCCATGACATAAGCTACTGGAAATTTTTTCTGAAGAAGACCTTGACGGAAAGTGGCAACGGCATCTTGAAAAATTGAAAGTTCATTTCTTAATTTTTCAATTACTTCTAAAACATTATTTTTGGTGACTATAATTCCTTGCATTAAAACTGACATTGTTGGAAATCCTGCTAATAAAGGTATTAAATTTGCATTTGAAGCGAAATGAGAGCATTCTGCAATAACTGTTATTGATATTTCTGGCTGAAACTAATATTTAAATAAATTTTAATCTTATGTATGTACATGTGTGAATGTATATATGTATATGATTGTGAAAACATGAAAATTACCTGCAATGCTTTATCTATATTTATATCTTGGATCATAAAAGGCTGAACAATTCCTTCAAGACATCGTCGTACACTATTTTCAAATTAATATAAAAAATCAAAAAATATCTTTGATCAATGAGTAGTAAATAAAACAATAAAAACAACCTACGTTTTCATAACTTCAGATATTATTATTTCTCGAGTATTGTTACAATCTATAGTTGCTAAAGATGTTGTTACATCCAAGAGAAAAACCATTCGATACTTTGTCGCGAGAGTGACAATACATGAATGTGGCATCAACCTATAACATTTATCATCTGATTCTTTAAGATCAGGTAAATTGTCTAATGTATAAATATCTTTAACTTTTCTTTCATTTTGAGATTGCATCAAAGAAGCAAGACGTAAATTTGAAACATGTAAAACTTGAATATTCTTTATAATTCATATAAAATATGTATATTCAAATATTTAAATTTTTAATAGGTATAAATCATAATCATAATAATTAATGAGAAAATTAAAAATCACCTTGTCATTTTCAAGGCTTATTGGTTGAAATAAACGTTTTAATATCCATTTATTCAGATCCACTTTAGAAAAATGTGCAGAGTTTTTAACCAGTAGAATAACCGACTTTGCCTCGGTATTCTTCAACATGCAAATGAAAAAAAGTAGAAATAATAGACAACGTATAGAAATTGAAAGAGTAAAATAAGCATTTAATTGAAGTAATTTCTAAATATTGTTCGAGTAAAATAACTATTATTTTTATCAAAACCTCTTTCTGTTGAGTTCCATCTAATTTTTGTTGCTGTTGCTGTTGCTGCTGTCGTTGCTCTTGGTGAACATTATGTGTGTAATTGTTATTGTAATTGTAATTATGACTGTAAGTGTAATCACTGCTTTGGAAGTTGTTATTTTGGTATTGATGTGGCGAATGCATAATTAATGAATACAAAAGGAATCTTACTTTTATTTCACTTTGAAATAAATAAATAAATATTATTATAATTTACAGAATTATAAATCTTATTTACAAAAACTGAAGTTTATATATTAATAGTAAAAACGAATTTTTTATAAATAAATGATCGACATAAAAATCCACAAAGAACGATCGCGTGGATACAGATTTCCCGAAGTACTGAAAAAAAAAGAGTGGTATATAGTGTTCCTATTGCAACAATTCAGTTTGCACAAAAGTCATGGATGCACATGAAAAAGGTTTAAAAGATTGAATTGCTGAATGGGTGGGTAGTCAATAGATACAAATCACACGAAAAAATTATTTTGATAATTTTTTCATCGGGTTTTTTTTGCCATTTATATTAATATGAAATTTTGGACGGATTTTGCTTGAAAACTATCGAAATCAAATTGGTTGGTTAAATGTGTAATTCAATTTCTTAATAACAGGCAGTAATGATAAAAAGATCAAGTGTAATCCCAGGAATGATTATTCATTTCAGGTCCTTTGTTGTGAAAGGTATTCAAGAAATCACAGTGTCAAACAACACCATCAAAAGTGCCAGAATAGGATTGTGATTCTGTATGTAAACTTTGTTATAAAGTCATTATCAGATCTCGAGTCAGAAAATACTTAACACCTCTTATCTGATCTAAAAATAAAGAAGCCACAAGATATATGTCTGTTCACTCCTTATTACTATAACTGAAATTTTCAAAGGATCATTTTCAGTCTGGACAAAAACCATCAAGGGTAGGAGTAGGCATGGCCTTGTAGGTTTGCATTAGAACCTCGTAATATGTTGGAGTCACAGAGTTATAAAAAGAAAATTTTAGAAAGGCTTCGCAGCAGAAAATATGGTAAAACAGAGTCATCTTTAACAAGTTGCAAGCATAGGCTTTAATGAGATGGATAATGAAGAAGATATGAATAGAGTATCTGATATGGTGACTGGTGCAAAGAAACGTTCCTTTTTGGTATGTGTGTGTGGGATGGATAGTCAGGAAAATCCGATATTCAAAGTGTCAGAAGTTGTAACTCGAATACAAGAATGAGGTTTTAGAAAAGGACGTAAAGAAGTTTTTTGAATATTACATGAAAAGAAATAAGAGGATTAATAAGTTGTTCTAATAAAGTTTACAGTCTGCAAGCAAGATTATCCTGTTCATAATCGAGTCATGAAATGTTTCATGACTGATTTTATGTGATATGACTGATTATACTTTATCAAATAGTACTCTTCTTCACGCACTAATGATATTTAGTATTATAATATAGTATAATTGTTTTTTCCCATGATACTAAACAATAGTAACATTCATTACCATACATTACAAATACAAACAGTCAAGCTTCCATAAAGTCATGCATGTACTATATATTTTTTTTTTTTAGCCAAAGATGTGTATGGCAGACTACAAAGAGATTTTCATAAGGTAAAGAAAGGGGCACTATATGGAGGTCTGATTGTAACATGTTTTATAAAATAAATGCTAACGTTTTGTAATATGTATAAAAATATATATCCACAGGAATCAAAAAATCAATCTTTGTTTTATCATACGTTGGACTGTTTCATCATTCATTAAAGATTCACGTTTGCTAGTGAAATCTTCAACAGCATACTCCAGGAACTTGTATTCATCTTCTCTATAAATTTTAATGTACGCAAGTTCTCTACTATTTTTTCCACTTTCCATTGACTTTAAAACCAATTCATTTGTCTGTTTAAAATTTGATAAAAGATTCATCACATTATCTAAAATTAAATCTGCTACTCGGAATTGAATCACTGGTAACAAATCCATCCCATTAATAACGCTTTCAAGCATCTCTGCATTCTCAATAACCTTGTCATTTATGATTAGCTCAATCGTTGGTGAATCAATTGAAGGTTCTGACACTTTGAGACCATAATCTTCAGTCAAAACACATAACCACATAGCTTTCGTGGAATATTCTGATAACTCTGTTCCTCCTTTTTTTCGTTTTAAAGTTACTAAAGGTTTGATACCATGATCTTGTAAGAACAACAGTTTTGCCTGTATTAATTCATCCGTTTCATAAAATGGTAAATTAAAAGATATAGTAGAACATGGATTATCACTTAATGTAAAACCATGAATAAATAATAATTCTGAATTTGGTTTATCACCATATGAAATACAAATTTCTGTTTCTGGCAAAAGTTGCTCATCTGAATCTAATTTTGTTAAGACCAATTCCACACCTTCGGTTGTAAGTTCCCACCGAGCACATGGTGTTAATGAGTGATTAGCAAAATCAAGATATGGCACTAGATGATAATCATCCATCAATTCTGTTCTATAAGGGGTTTGATCCAATGGCGCAAATTCAAAACGACTGCCAAATGATAATATCCTTGACCAAAAAATTCCATCGGCCCATTTATAATGCTCAAATGTCACTGCTGAATCCACCACTACCACATTATTGTTATTGTTGTTTTGTAATGACAATGTCCAATTATTAAAATAAGGACGAAACAAAGCATACTCTCGTTCAAGCTTTTTATGTTTTGCCTCTACTGCTGCTTTTAAACTTGTTCCATTAAGACATGTTTTCAATGACTCATTATAAAATAATGGGGTGTGTAATGTACGTGGTAATATGTCCACATATTCTTTCCATATAGATGGTGGGTCACCAGAAGCAGCCCGTCCAACTCGTTCATACAGGAGATAAAATATTATTGCCAATCGTTCTGTTAATGTTTGGCCACTATTTTTCAACAATTGAATAGTTTCATCTAGTTTTGGGGCCTTTTCTTTTGCAAATCTGTTTATTTTTGTTTTGCTGATTGTGAGTGAGAAAGGAATAAATGCCACCACTTTGTTGTCACACAATGTAGCTTGTTTAGTGACAAAACCTAAGCCTTTATCTGGTATTTCTTGAACTTCTACATCAGATACAACTCCACTTTCTATTTCGTAAATAATTATGCATATATAAATAAATTTAGTTGAAAATTGAAAAAAATAAACTATCAAATTTTATATATATGTTCCTTATATAACAAATTTTGTTTACATTATCAATCACCTTTTGACCAATTAAGTAAAGTCTGCAAAGCTGAACTTGTTGTCATTATTATTACAACTAGAGAATTTGATTTGTGGTGACTTCGTAGCCGACCAGTACAAATAGAGAGATTTGTGATTCGTACAACAACAAAATTTTTTTATTTTTTATTTTGTTTTTACATGCCAATGACGATAATATTAATTCTATTACAATTACAGTATTACTGTCGAGGTACAGAAAATGGAAGCGAGTTGGCAGAAATTCTTTCTAAACGTTCGTATTCTGCTACCATTGATTGATCAGTAATAAATGCTTCCCTTGCAAGTGCATTATTTTAACCTTCTCCCAATCAGTGCAACGACTTAGAGATACATATGCTTGACCTGCTGCAAATATTTGGGAATCGAGACTAAGAGAGATACGTCATGTAAAGTTAATGAATGAGTTTTATGTACTGTCAATGCAAAAGCATTTGGATTGGAAATTGTTCCCTACTTGCCAGGAATACCATTCACTAAGAAATTTGATACCTGTTTTTTGATATCTACAACTACTATTCCAGAGTGAACAGAAGAAGCAACTCTCACTTTCATGTTTTCTACATCGACATCAGTTGTTACCCCAATGGACCATTGCAGATTTTGTGTTTTACCCGAGTTGCCCGATTTCATTGACTAAATTTTGTAATGATTTCCCTTTCAGATATCACTCAATAATTGGCTTGAAGATCATTACGCAATTTGAAAATCAAAATATTCAATGAATTTCAAGTTGATGCAAGAATATATATATGCTTAAGTAAATTCTAAATAAAAATATTAATATAATAATATCTCTTTATCTAAATGTTTTTAATACATAGACTTGGTTTTTTGTTATACAGTCTAATATATTATTTACTATTTGACTTCTTCAAATCAATGTTTTATCTTCATTAGTGGGATCATTGATTTTTTATGACGCATTTAAAGTTTAAAACAATAGTAAATGCAGATCTTTTTTTAATTTTCTCAGAACACCAATGGTATTTTTTAATCTTTATGTGTAACATTGTTTCAGTTACATTTGTTTTTCTTAATATGAAATATTTGGATTGCATAAATTAAAATTTTAAATAAATATCTTGTCATATCAGATAAAGTTGTTATTCAATTAATGAAATGACTATAGCACTAGCACCACCACCACCATTACAAACTGATGCGCAGCCAATTTTTCCATCTTTATCTTTCAACACACTGGTTAAAGTTGCAATAATTCTAGCCCCTGAACAACCCAATGGATGACCCATTGCAACTGCACCACCAAAAACATTGACTTTTTCTTTATCTAGCGAAAGCAATTTTAAATTTGCTAAAGCAACAACAGAAAATGCTTCATTAATCTCAAAATAATCGATGTCTGAAAGTGATTTTTTTGCATGAGATAAAGCTTTTGGTATGGCTACTGATGGTGATGTTGTAAATTTTGCTGGTGCCTATACAACAATTTTTAATTAAATAATCATAATTTATATAAATAAATAAACATCCACCAACTAAATATAAATTTACCTGAGCAGCATCACTCCAACCTAAAATTTTTGCAACAACTTTAATACCCAACTCTTTAGCTTTCTCTCCACTAATTAGAACAATAGCTGTTGCACCATCACTTAATGGTGAAGAATTAGGAGCTGTGACACTACCATTATCAATGAATGCTGGCTTCACAGCACGCAGTTTATCAACATTTAACTATTATTACATTTACAAGATATATTTAAATGATTAGCATGTGTTGCTGGATTTTTTATTTTAAAAAAATTTAAAACTAGCTTACATTATTAACTTCATCATCTTGTGTAATTATTTTATCAGGTTTACCTCTACCACCAGATACTTTTATTGGAACAATTTCATCTGAATATTTATTTTCTGCAAATGCTTTTTGTGCACGTTGATATGAATAAATAGCATAATCATCCTAAAAAATTATAAAAATTATAATCATTATAAACAATAAAATGAAAATTATTTTTAATGCAATAAATATAACTATCATTATTTACTTGTTCTTCACGAGTAATACTATAATCTTTAGCACATTCTTCAGCAGCAACACCCATAAGATAACTATTATAGACATCTGTTAGGCCATCTTTTACAATACCATCAACAAGTGTTTGATCCCCATATTTAGAACCAAATCTTGCTTTTGTGGCATAATAAGGTGTGTTTGACATAGATTCTGTACCACCCGCAACAATAATCTATCATATTATGTGTATATATAATTGAGTAAAATCTAGATACAAAATTTATTAAATGTTATATTCAATAATTAACTTACATCAGCATTTCCAGTGATAATGGTTTGGGCACCTAAAATTACAGATTTCATACCTGATGCACACACTTTATTAACTGTTGTGGCAATCACTTTGTCTGGGATACCTGCACCTAAAGCTACTTGGCGTGCTGGATTCTGACCTAGTAATATATTATTTATAAAAAATTTATTTAGACTTTTTTATTTAAAAATCATATATATTAGTAATTGTATGCATTCGGTGCAGTTAATACCAAGGTTAGCAGAAAGAACATTTCCAAAAAAGACTTCTTCAACAAGCTCGGGACTAATGTTAGCTTTTTTTAAGGCAGCTGGTAAATAATTAAAAAAAAGTTATTAACAAAATCAATTATATTATGCTGATAATTATTAATTGTCCATTTTTTTAACCTTCAACAGCAATGGAGCCAAGTTTTGTTGCTGTAAAAGAAGTTAATGATCCATTAAAACCACCAAGAGGAGTTCTCGCAAAAGCGGCTATATAAACATCTATTGTGTTATAAGTAAAAAAAATTAACACTAAAATAAAATTTTAATTTCTGCTAAAAATATTATAAATTTTTTTTAACCTTTTTGAAGAGTCATTTTTTTTTAAATACTATCAGAAAAGTCGCGAGGATTATTTTGTAGAAGTTACACGAGTATCTTATTTCTACAAAATTTATATCAAATTAAAATTAGCCAATCAGAATTTCATATCTAAATATCCCATAGCAAGCAATAGTGGAAAAATGTTTTCATATTAATGTTTCGTATGTAACACACAAAATGTTCAACATACAAAGTTATCAATTTATGAATGAAACACATGAAACATTAAAATTTAAAATTAAAGAACAGGATGAAACAACTCGATTATTAAAAACTCAAGATGTTGATAAAACTTTAATTGATACAGAACTGGAGTTTTGACTGATTTAAAGAACCAGTTATCTTTCTTTAACTGACGAGAGTTCTAAAAGTAAAAATAACAATTATTATTTTCACTATCATTTATTTAATAAAGAATAATAAATATAATTTACCTGATTAATTATGTTATCAAGCTTTACGTTAGTTTGTGAATTGACTTCTGTTTGTTTATATGGAATTTCATGATAAGATGATTGACGATTATGTTGATGAATCTTGAAATCACCAGCTGGTGGTGTTGTTGTTCCAATTGAAGAAGTGCTATTAACAGTTGTCATTGCAATTGAAGAGAAATTAATAGTAGAATTGGTACTGCTGCTAAGAGTAAAAGCCTCTATTGTCTCGTCAGAATCATCGATAAAAATAACATAATACTCTATACTTATTTTACCCGGATTATTTTTATTTGTAGAACTAAAAATTAATGTATATTGAATTTTTGCATCATGATCAAAAAAAGACGAGTCTGTTGATGTTTTTGCATTTTCATTCATTAAATGACAAACAGATTCCGAGTTATCTGCAGTAAAGTTATAATTGCTAAATGTAGCGAAGCATGCAATTGGTTCTCCTTTGAAGCAGGTTGATCGAAAATTGTATCGTTGAGGAGTCTTAATTATATAAGTAAATAAGTCATCAGGAATTGATTCGGTTTCTTTCTCAAAAATGCCATAATAAATCCGATTACGTGCGCAATATGCTGGACAACTATGCCGGTTAATAAACTGTTTAATAATTTCCAAAACATTAAAGGGTGGTGAAATGTCCATTTGTTCCTCTAAAATATGCTTGATATAACGTAAATGAAAATCATATACAAATGAGTTGACATGAATCATCTTTTTGAATCTACCACACTCCTCAGTAAACACTTTCAAACTATGTCTATCACCATTAGCAGCAATAAATCCCGGTGCTGCCATTCGAAGTTTTCCATATCGCCTATTCATTGTATACAATGTGACACAGACAAATTCATTTTGTATCCCCACTTCACACATAATAGAACCACCTTGAAGTGCTTTAAGTAAAAATACAGGAGAACCTTCATAAAATTCTTTGTTATGATCAAGCGTTGCTGTTGTAGCTGTTCCTGTTGGATTTTCGTTATTATTATTACTGCTGCTACCATCGTCAATTATATTCAACCCTGGTTTACCATCAATAACTACATGCATTCCAATAGTCTCAAGATATGAAGAGTACTCTTCTAAAAACTTATTAACTATCTCTTTATACCATTGAATCGTGTTATTATTAGTAGTAATAGTAGTAGTTGAAGATGGTTGTTGATCATCACTTTTGGCATTAAATAAAAGTGGTGTTCTACAAAAATGTAACAGCCTGGAAGTACGAAATACGATAGATAAATCAGATTTGGCAATTGCATCTCTTACATCTATTCTTTTATCATTATTATGTTCTTGATATCTCTTTACCCATTTATTATACACTTTAAGAGCATTTTCGTGGTCTTGTAATATTTTGGCTTGTCGAATACAGGTGTCTATAAACGAGGGACCATGTCTCTTCAGCGCATCTTGGCTTTTAAAAATGGAATTAAATTCTTCTATTGGTTCGATAAACGAATCCTTAAGAACTTTTTTTACATTGAAGTTAGTTAAAGCGGATTGGTTAGCCTCGATTTCCTTTTTTTTTGATTCTTCATTCTTTGTATCACCAACTCTTTTGTTTTCTTCATTGTTATGATGTCTTTGCGGGAAACGTTGATATACCATTGAATCGATATGCAGCAAATCCTGATATCCGGATTTTTGATTATTCAATGTGCTTTCAGCTTGAGATGACGCTCTTTGGGGCCCAGGTATTGGAGGTTGCATAGCTCTAGGTGTATTGATTGGATTATGTACCAATGTGGAAGTTTGAGGAGTTGGTTTTGGTTGAGGACTATCAACATGATAAAATAACCCCATTTTTTGATGTAGGATATTATTTAGCAATCCAATTCGTTTATTATGCCAGTCAGAAATGCTTTTCATAGCTCCAAAGATTTGTTCAGCATATTGTTTCTCCCAATTGTAAATATAAATAGTCATTTCAAATCCATCAAATGACATTACTAAAAAACAAGATCGAAACAAATCAACCTTTTGTCGGTTATTAGGTTCTCCAGGCAGTGAAGATGGTGGGATCTTATACATCATAATATCTTCTAATAAACTTCGTTGATGAATCGGAGGATTAATGAATGAATTTTTACGAGAGTGAATGTGACTACCATTAACTCCACCACCACCTTTTTCATTTGATGAGAAGTCTTCTACTGAATTTTCACGAGAATGTAACAGACCTTTACTACTATCATTTCTTCGATCTTCAACTGCCATTCCATACTTTACATTCATCTCTTTCAGCCCAGCAATTATTAAATATTTACATTTAGTTGAAGATGTCATTTCTGCGTCAGGAGTTGATGAGTAAGGACGATAAATCTCATATGCTACATTAAAGTTTTCAGCTCTTACTGATAGTTTTGGAAAAATTCGCAAAATTATTGGAATAAATACGGGGTTCACTTCCGATAAAAGTTCATGGACTTCTTTCATAAAATCATCAATCATCCATGCAGGCATTTCTAACTTTAAATTTAATGAGTGTAATGCTGGATTTGATAGATTTGCTGCTTTTGACAATAGTTCCATTGTTGGATCAATAAAAACACGTTGAACATGTGAATCAACAAATTTTGGAGGTTTTTTTGGAATATTTTCAACACTTTCAGCTTCCTTTTGTCGTTGTTGAATGGTTTCGTTGCTATAATGGACGCGACCTAAGCCTTTTGTTATTGATACTTCGATGAAAAAGTCACATATACACTGTTGAAAACTTTTAGTCATTCTGTCCAATAAAATATCTGAATTCATTGGACCTTGTGCCCACATATCAACTGACAATTCATAGCCTTTTCTAATTCTTTTATTATCGTCATAAAATTCGTCAGATTCTGAAATTACAAAGTTATCTTCATTTTCATAATATTCATACATTTCATTAATGTTTACATCATCAAGATCGTTTCGACTAGGTAACGGTAATTCAAAAACCGGCCGGCTATTTTTATCTAATAAGGTAAGACAAATACCAGCAATTCCTTGACCAACAGACGCTTCAAAAATTGAAGGTGATCTTGATTGACTGTTATAATTGTAGAAAAAAGTGAATTCCTGAAGTTGAATGTCACAAAGTGGATATTTTCTTCCATTATCAACATATGAATCGTGTGAGCTTGCTATACCATATCTAGATTGATGATATCTTCTAACTGCATTAATTACCTCTTGCCCATTCAAAACGTTGAGATAGGTTTGAATGTTTTGTTTGTAAAACACTAAAAATGCATAAGGATTTTTAATAGATGATGGAATTCTTAAAGTCAAACGTTTTGGACTTTTTAATAACGGTAAAATAAAATCAACATCCTAATTACAAAATAATTAAATATAATTTAAATTTATTTTTCTATCCAAATAAAGTAATAAATAAATCTAAAATTTATTAATAGTATAGTTAGTTTATATTTACATACCGCGCGAGTTAGATTAATCTTGTATGGATTACGAGCCAAGTGAGTTGACATTACATTAAGTGTGATATTGGTGGTCAATTTATTTTCTAATAGTAACATAAGTTCATCTATGGTTTCTTTGCCTGGAGGTTCAAGCCCAAAAACTTTAACAACTAATTCACGAGATTCTGTGAGTTTTGATTGTGGTGTAGCAGCAACATTGGTAGCAGTGGAGATGTTTGCACTTTTGCGAGAATTTGGTGAAGAAGTGATTTTTGGACTATCGCTCCTACTTGAAGGAGGACTTTTAATTTCTTCGTTAGAAATTGTAGATTGTAAATCTGCAGTAGGTGGCTGTTGCTGAGATTGTGAAGTAGCAGTTTGTATCAAAGGTGAAGGAGCAACATGGTTTTTGGATATAACGTCATCATCATTTTCATATATAGGATGTCCATCAACTTCAGACACTTTGATATAAAATATGTTCTTTTCTTTTGGTATCACAAACATATGTTTACGATTATTAACAACCAATTGATGAAGGATTAATGATGTGACACTGTTCAATGCTTGGTGTGGTCTCAATCTCCAGTGTAATGGGAATTTTTGCTCGTAAACCAACGGGCACTCGAATTGTCCAGGCTTAAATTTCATTGAAACATTCAAATTTCCATCATTAGGTGTCATAGATAATGCATCTACCAAATCTCCTGTTGTTGACAAATCACCGTCTTCCGAAGAAGACTCCGAGTCAGATGATCCATCTGGAGGCACTAAATATTTGCTGCAATGACGCGTTTCATTCAAATCATTTAATAAAACTAATCTGTTTACACGTTCAGATGCCTGAATTATACAGTTACGAACATGTTTGATGATGTTTGAGCGTTCAATTGCTGAAACTGCTTTGGAATAGAAATACATCTGTATACTTGTTTCTTGAGTGTCAAGTAAAAGCCAAAATAATTGTTTGCGGAAATTTTTTGAGTCGTCTGGAACAATAGGGTTATCAAGACTAATACCTAATCCTTGACATAATTCATTGCCACCATCATCATCGTCGTCGTCATAATCGTCATATACATCTGATGATGCTCGTTCAATTGAAGAAAAAGAAGAAGAATTCTTATTCTTATTATTATTTTCA